TAGACATAGCCTAAAAGTAAAGTTATATTCAAGATGAAGTAAAACTTGGATTTGGGATGCCCAAACTTTGGGGATGTTTTGATTTGGATTCACGTCTGAACTCTGTGGCTCCATCGAATTTCTAGCACTGAAAAACTATTCTGCAAACACGGTATTTCATCTTTATTCTATGTCAGTGACTCTTCCATATGGAAGAGGTTCAGTTTAAATGTCAATAGCACGATTTTTTTTTTCTGAATGCCAGCACAGCAAGCTTGTATGGGGTCTGAAAATCAAGCTGTATTTTATTTTGTGCAGTGTTGTCAGAAACAAAGATGGCTGGAGTTACAAGTAGTCTGGCAATCTTGTTGATGCATGAAGCAGCAGAAAATAACTTTTTCCACCTTGCTGCTCTGCTGGCTCTTTGTCAAAAATAGGGAAGACTTGTTTTTTGGCCAGTAAACTGCAAAATATACACAGGGCTCCCATTATAGCGCTTTTTCTTTTGAAATCTCAAAGCATTTTATAAGGGAGGAAACCTGTTTTCCAGATGTGGAAACTGAGGCACAGAATAGGGAAATCAGGTTGCACAAGGCCACCCAACAAACCAGCAGCAGAGCAAGGGTGCTAATCTCTGGCCATATCCACTAGGCTACACTACGAACACTGCATGGAAACTAGTGTGTCACTGTGGGAAGAAAGAAATGCCCTGTCCACACTAGAACTTAAGGTCAGCAACAATTTTCAGACATGATTAGGACATACTGTTTTTGTAACGTTGTTTATTTCCACATGAATGTGTTACAGCCACAATAAGAAACCACACTGAAGAAAGGATCTGTGTGGGGAAGAACAGCATGTAGGGACTTGCAAAACCCTGCTTTGCCAGCTGTCTCCCAAAACAGTTGTTGATTACATGTCTCAGGTTAGAATGTAGACAAAACAATATACATCAATGACAAAGTATCCCTTTTGCAGCCATTTTTCTGACCCACAATCACCATTTAGGACAGTAGTCACCAACCAATAGATCAGGATCTACCGGTAGCTCTTGGAGCCTCTGACAGGCAGGCTATCAGGTGCCAGCACTCTAGCTGCCCCTACCCATACTGCCCTGCTACTCCTGTCCAGAGCCTCAGAGCTGCCCTCTGGGATCCTCCTGTTTGTTGTGTAGGGTGAGGGAGACAGAGGCAGGGGGTGCTGATGTCACTCTGAAGATGGGGTATAGGGGTGAGGGACCGAGTGAGGAGGCTGGCGCCTCAGTGAAGGCGTGGGGGCAGGGGCAGGGCCTCCTCAAAGGAACAGGGCAGGGGATTTGGGTTTGAGGTAGATCGTGGACTGACTTAAATTGAAAAAGTGATCTTGTGCTTAAAAAGGTTGGAGACCCCTGGATTAGGACCATTCGATCACATCCTGTTTAATATGAGGGCTATGTATATTCAAATTGTACTGTGAGAAAAAGGAACTTTTTAGTGAAGAAACTGGGGAATGGGAGGGGGGGTTAGTATGCCAGTTATATACATAAACACAGGAGGAATATAGATGGTATTATGGGACAGGATTGGATGTAACAAATCTGGATTCTTTTCTGCCACAAACTTCCTGTGTGAATTTGACAAAGTCATTTAGTCTTATGTCTCCATTTCCAATAAAATGGGGATAATGATACTTAATTTTGCTCAAGGGGATGTTGAGAGAATAAAGTAATGTTGGTTGAGTGCTTTGTTATGCTTGCATGGAAACATGCTACAATACTATAAATATCACCAGGTGATTGTGGAAATAAGATTTAAAGTAAAGGTTAACACTTTTTGGTGGGAGCTGAACGTTAGCAGCTCCCAGTGTCATTTGTTATCCAAAATAATAACAAAATTATTGGATGCATTATAATACTCTCCCATAGAAAGCAATTTAAAAACCAGTGTCCTAAAAGTGCAAAATCTTAGTTTTAAGAAAATATTGTCAATCACAGAATGTTGGCACCCATCTGAATCTCAGCTATTGGGTGAGTGTTTAGTCCCTCTCTCCCTTTGTACTGTGTTGGTAATTTATGGTTAGTTGGGTCAAGGATTGGTAATGGGCTTTTTGAAACCAGGCATTTTGAGTCCATTACAGGTTGGTACTCTCTGAACATTGTTACCCATCTGACCTATCTTCATTGACCTGAATGAAATAAATTGTTGGTCTGAGACTAGATGTCCATGTCCAAAAGAGTTATCAGTTGGCAATGTTGGATGGTCCGAATAGGAGCGGCAGACCCCACAGAGAATGGGTAGATGATATGGTAGATTGGTATGGAGCTAGTCTACAGAAACTAAGCCACTCCACACTGGACAGGGAAAGATGGAAGGAAATAGTGAAAGAAGCATCGGACACCAACAGGCATTGAGCCCGTGGTTGTGGACGATCATGATGATGAACGTGAGAATTAAGGGCAGGAACTGATTGCTCTTTTAGAGTGAGAGGCTTCTCCAAAACTCATTGTGACGTGCTGTGGCATAGGCAAAGTTTGTCCAGCTGCTGCTTGTGCTGTACCTTTTTTCTACGTAATGGATGAAAACTGATTCCATTGAAATAAGGGGAGTTTTGCCACTGTCTTCAGTGGGGCCAGGATTTCGTGTTGGGTGTTTCTGTTTCAAGCACCTTCTGTCAGAAACAATCATATCTAGATACATCTGACACTTACAGTTTCTTGTAACCGTCTTTGATCTGAGGAAAAATGCACTTAACCAGAGAGGAGGCCCATACTGAGGCATGTATAGATTTTAAGAAGAAAACCAAATGTTTTTGCTTAGGTTCCCATAAAAACTCTTTTATAAACACAAATAGCTGTTAAATATTAACTTCCCCCCTTCTCTCTCTCTGAAATAGGTTTGGAAATCTCATGGGATGGAGACAGTTTTGTCGAAGTCATGGCTGCACCACAGTTGAAAGGCAAACTTTGTGGCTTATGTGGCAACTATAATGGGCACAAGAGAGATGACCTGATAGGGGGTGATGGGAATTTTAAGTTTGATGTGGATGACTTTGCTGAGTCCTGGCGTGTGGAGTCTAATGAATTCTGTAGTCGCCCACTGAAGAAGCCTGTGCCTGAACTGTGCCAAGGAACAGTGAAGGTAAAACTTCGGGCCCACCGGGAATGCCAGAAACTTAAGGCTTGGGAGTTTCAGAATTGTCACTCAATGGTGGATTATACTACATTTTATCGGTAAGTGCAGCCTACTGAGGAGTGATGGGGGTAGGGGAGGATGATGGAGAACCATTGTGTGGGAATGTGATGATGCAAATCTGCATTTAATTGGCCTTGATTCAGGGAAGTACTTAAGCAAGTGCTAACTCTAAGCATGTACTTAACTCCAACTCACTTCAATAAGATTCCAGCACATGCTGAACAGCTTTCTTGAATCAGCTCCTTGAGCTGAAAATAGGAACATAAAGGGCAATAGAGCAGCTACAATTGAAGAAGAAAGCTTTATAATTGCCAGATTAGAAAAATGCTGTTTGAAAATCCCACAGACAAAGAGTAGGGGTAAACACAAGGCCACAGAACGTATTGCTGGAGTCAATTCTAAAACTCCTGTTGACTTTGATGAGACCAAGATTTAGTCCACGGTGCTCCATGTTTCCCAGGAGCCTGTTAAAACTGATTTTGTTTAAGACAGTTGTCCCACAATTTCCTGACTCATGAAATACGTATGTTTTAGAGCTTAAAAGGATACAGTAAATAGAATGAGCTAGGTCTGCCTGTTTCACCCTGGAAGCAAAGAAAAAGGGAACACAAACAAGAATTTTGGCTTGAGCAATTTATCTAAGCCTTTTTATCATTAAAATGCCGCTGGCCTAAACCACAGGGAGATTATTTCTGCTCTTTAATTGTCATTCGTTTATTTGCCCCTCTGCAAGTAAATAAAATCCTGGGTTTTTTAGATTGCCTGACATAAAAGATAAAAGCAAGCTGGGTCAGCATTGCATAATGGTGGATGGAACTGCCTAACTTCATGGTTGCAGCGTTCTGTACTTGAGCACATCTGCTGAACTGAACTCATTTATAATGGCTTTTGTAAATGACTGTATTTCCCTTGTGAACTGCCTTTCTTCCTCTTCTGTGTGGAGACTGAAAGCCTTTTATCTGTTCCAACACAGTATGACTGGGTGCTGGGAAGTGCTAGAAAATTCAGCATATCTTGGTTTCTAGGCTATGTCTGTCTGGGTATTCAGTCTATTGCCTGGCTCATAAGATAGGGAGATAGTGTAAGAATGAGGGAGGTCTTATCTGTAACTTTTATAGTGTTTAATTTTGTTTTTGGAGGTGATAGGAGCAACAAAGTGTTAGAGATGCTAACACAAACAATAGATGGGTTGAATGTATTTCAGCAATGTTTCTACCTTGCTTGTGCCATTATTTAAAGGTAAGTGTTGAAAATGAAAATAGAAAACAGGCATGGAAAGTTTAAACTAGACTTTCTCTTTCATTTCACATTTAGTTTTTTTCTTTTTCCTTTAAAGTGGCTTGTGATTAATTAATAGCAATGAACACTCTTGACACCAAAAAAGAAAATGATTTGTATCTTGGCATGGGCAGTCAGAAAAGGTCTTTGCATCTTTACACAAAATAACATGGTGAATTTTCTTTTCTTGCTTTAGAAAATAGTATTGGGTCAGTTCTGGAAACACACTGAACATTTGCTTGATATAATTATATGTCTTTTGTAGAAAAGCCTGTTTTACACAGAGCTGTGTGGGTACTGGAATTTATATCCCATGAAAAATTTCACATTTCTGGAAAAAAAAACATTCATATTTAATATGAAAAGATGGATATGTGAATTTTTCCACGGGATGGACAGTTTAAAAAATTCTGGTTGTGGGTTTAGGTAGCCCAGTAAACCTGGGCTAGTTTCCATTTTAGAAGTTCCTGCAGTTCAATTCAGTCTAGTCTGCATTTTCTTATGGAAAAGTGTTCTATCCGCAAATTTTCACCCAGCTCAATTTCCACAGTTTAATAATCTTTAATTTGAAATGAGAATCAGATTCTGCTGGAGTTCATTCCCTGAAGCTTTGCATTCATATTTTCAGACTTTACTGTAACTCAGGTACAGCTATGAGAATCGAAAACAAAACACCAAATGAAATTCAGTAGAAATATTACCTGTTATTAAAACTAAGTGAAAAATTTGCTACGAACAATTTATTAAGAGAGTTTGGCCTTTTTTTTTCATATTAGTAAAATTTCTACAACCTGATCAGTGTTTTTTGCAAATTTGTTCATTATTTGAAAAAAAAATGCATGACAAATATTTTGTGGACATAGTTTAGCTGAATTTCTTATGAACTAAAAGGACCCCTGAGTATTCAAATGTTGGTATGTGATTAGTTCCATAATCCAAACAGTAATGTTTATCTGCCCCACACTAACGGTGGCCATGTGATCCTTTTCAACATAATTCTTCACCCTTCTTGATATTTCAATTTTCCACGAATGTTCTTCCAAAGGAAATATTGTTGACAAATGGACAGTTACAGAAATCTAATCATAAAGGTGTACAAATACCACCAATTCAGTTTGATTCAGAATTAACAAAAATATTTACAGCACGCACATGATGCTATCCACAACACCTGTCAACAGAATGTAGGTTTTATTCTGATTTTTCCATGTGTGCATTTTTTAAGAGAAACAATGTATCTGAAGTAAAATGGGTAGCTGCTTATGTGTCTCTTGGTTCTTTCCATCTGGCTCTTTTTTCAAATGAGTAGCTTGAATGGATGGATTTTCATAGCATTGCCGTCTTTTTTTCCTCTCTCATTATGCATTACATAACTTATCCATTTTGTAATATCATGTTCACAAATATGTTAACCTTTCTTGGTCATTCTCATCTGAATTATTAACACTACCTCATTTTCAGTGATTTGCTCTTTAGGTGACCCCACTGTTAATAAGAATTCTGAGAAATAAACTCAGCATGGATTTTCATAGCATTGCCGTCTTTTTTTCCTCTCTCATTATGCATTACATAACTTATCCATTTTGTAATATCATGTTCACAAATATGTTAACCTTTCTTGGTCATTCTCATCTGAATTATTAACACTACCTCATTTTCAGTGATTTGCTCTTTAGGTGACCCCACTGTTAATAAGAATTCTGAGAAATAAACTCAGCAG